ATTTTAATTTTTGATAAAAGTAGATCAAATATGAATTTATAAAATTTTAGCGGACAAATTTGTCTGCTAATCTGGACGGTTTAAGGGATAAGTGCCAGAGTTCAAAGGGTAACAATAAAAGATATATTAATGATCTATACAATTAGTATTATTAGTACTGTGACGGAATTCCGTGTATAGGTAAGGAGTCTGGCATACATACATGTATAAAAACTGTTTACTCGAACTCGCACCAGTTCAACTAAGTATATCAAATGAATTTAGATCTGAGATTGCGTGTGCTATGCATAATAGAGATTGGATGAGTTTCGAGCATTGATTGGTCACAAACTCTAGATTTTCGAGCATCGGTAAAAAATTCTGACTGATATTCTAATGTTCATTGAGTTTTTAAAAAATACATAAAAGAATTTAATATAACATGAAATTTATTAATTGTATCATTATCTCTACATTATATAATTACAATTTATAATTTGCAACAGTACAAAAACAACATGTACTATTATCGCTACATGCAATTTACATGACTTATAATTTGCGCATTATAAAAGCAGCCTGTTCTATTACCGCTACATTATTAATATACATTTACATGACTTATAATTTGCGATGTATATTATAAAAACAACCAAGCATTAATCCTAGCATCAGGAATAGTAAAATCAATTGTTTTTCATATTACACTTTAGAAATACTATTCTGCCAAACAACTTTGGCTTTAATAACATTTTTTTCGCACTCATAACATTTCCTGCATCTGAAAACAAGCGCTCACTTGGTGTGCTGTTGCAGGAATTGCAAGAAATTTTCGCGTCATTTTACTTAAAATCAGAAATTGCCGTTTTTGTAAAGACCACCACACCATGGGAACTCCCTCAAGGAGCAAGATAATTTGTAACTTCATTATTATCTTGGTTTTGTAAGCTTGATAAAAAAAACCCTAATTTAATGAACCCTTTATGGTAAGCTTGCTTTTCATTTCGATTAGTTACAGAAACTAATTTGGATATCGATGAAGCAACTTGTTTAGATAAATAGTGCCGCTCTTTAAATTCTGCATACATAGCACGTAGAGTTTCTTCAACTTGATTTCGCTCATCAGTTGATAAAACATGTAATCTTTTGCAGCTTGGATCCAATTGAGTTTTTTACAATCTTTTGCAGCTTGGATCCAATTGAGTTTTTTACAATGTCAATTTGAAAAAATTTATTAAATAAGACTTATGAAATTATTATTTATTAATCAATTAAAAATTTATCATAATTAAATTTTAATTTGACTGATCTCGATGGTTGACTGAGTTTAAAAATCATTGAATGAAGTTTATTTCGATGTTCGAAATTTTCGATCGATGTTCGAATAATTATTCACCGATTCCACTCTCAAATGCATAAACAACCATGTTTAATTTGAGTTCACTGTTATATGTGATATATTGGTATTAGCGTTATATATATGATCGAGAATTTGAAAATATCAAATTTTTACATCAGCATAGCAGGCTTTATTATGATTGGCTGATTTTTGAAGATCATCTTATCATAATGAGTGTCTTATTAAAGTAACGATTTTCTGTCACGAATATACAAAAAAAATTAGAAAGTTCACATCTTAATAAACTGTCAAAGTAATTTGGTAATCCGCGAAGTAATTTGGAAGTTAGGTGAGAGGTATGTTTGAACGCTTAAGTTTAACTTAGAGGTACAATAAATCAATTAAACTCGGCAGGTTAAGCTGTCTTTTAAATATTTTGTGAAAACTTATTCTTCGCAATCCCAACTAATATAGAAACCTGACTATAATATAGGCTAAGAATACGAAATTGAGAGTCATAAGGTTTATAGATTTCGTGAGAATAGTTAAAATGAAGTAGTAGTACTGTAACTGTATAACGATTATTAAATAAAATTAAAGGTCAGTTGGATATTGGAGCGAACACTAAAAGTTATTTTTGATTATTTTTTATTAGCCATTAGTGTTCTAAATAGGTTCAAACATTTATTTTTTGTATTTTTCATTTTTGGTTTGTTTTTGCACATATCAGTTTTTTTCGTGACAATTAAAGTTTAGAACTTCAATTAATTTCGATTAATCAATAAAAATTTTCTAGATCACGGGATGATATACCGATCACAGTGAAAGCCCTCTATGCTGTCAACATCTATTTTGAACTAATTTGGGATCAAGCTAGCTCGAACCCTCCCCGAAATATTCCTGTGAATCTCACCGTTCCTTCACCACCCAGAGAGAAACAGGGTCAAAAAAGAACTAGGGAGGCGAATGATATAAATCCTTCTCGAATGGAAGCGGATCAAGGAGTTTGAGGATTTTTTCTTAAAAATATCAAATGAGCTGAAAGCAAGCGGAAGATTAAAAAAGAAAAATAATGCATTTTTTTAGAATATAATCTGTAACTCATTTTTATTTTCTTTATATTAATAAGGCTGGCTCTGGTGGCTGATTTCGCATACATAATCAGTTTACTTTTGCATGTGTATTTCGTGGATTTATCATATCCACTGATTTGATTTTTGAACTTCTGCAATTAAGTGACGTGAAGAATAATAAACGAAACATTCAATAAAAAAGTTTTTTAACCTCTATATGAGATAAATAAGCAATCAATATTAAAAAAAATAGTTACATTAAGCCGTAAAAGAAAGCACCATCACTAGTTGTTGAAACGTTCGGGTATGTTCAGGTAGTAAACGATCGGTTTGTCATTGAACGATCGGTTGTATAATGGGTAAAGGTCATGGAAATATGGACTTTGAAGCATCAAATATTGTTAGTGAGCCTTAGGGATTGAGAACGTAATGATTAGCTTTAAACAAACCATACAATAAATGTTAAATGCTTAATTTATGGTTTTATCGCATGTATATTAAGTTTATATTTTGATAGTTTTCACGGTTTAGTCTAAGCTTCAAAAACATAAATAGTATTAACCTTACACGTGGATAGTTTATATTTTATCGAGTTTTTATCATGAGTATTGTCGGCATCACTAGTTCGTATTAAATTCCTAATTTTAATCTGACACATACAAAATCTGATAAATTGAAAAGCATAACTCGTTAGGGTGTACCACATTATAATTAAAACAATAAATCCATTAAATGCGGATTTTTTGGTGGTATATGAACGTCCATTCTATTATAATAAATATAAATTAATATATATTTAATAATACGTATAAAATTAGATGTACAGACTTAAACTATTATGTATAATTCGATCTTTTTTTATTTATACAGTGCACGACACTTAAAGACTACACAAACTTTAAAAGCCAATAACTTTTGATCTAAAAAAGATATTTTAA